ATAAACAATGAATCAATTTCAGTAGTTGACGCTCTAGAACTTCGGCTCTAGTCAATCTGAAGAAGGGTCATTCAGAAAAAGCCATATCAAAATATAAAATACAAGCAATTTACACGATTATTCAACACGTTTTATTTCACAGGTTTGGAGAAATTTCCCAATCAAAACCAGAATTTGCCAAAGTGGATAATTAAAAAGGCAAATTTGACTACATATAAATGACAAATTCTAGCATACATTATTCATGTAACTTGTAAAATTTGTGTTTCAATCGCCTTTCATGAAAACCGTGGCAATTAAATCTACCTTTATACTTCTTTTCAGGTACAGTAACAACACACCTAACATGTAGTAACTCGTCAATTTCATTTCTTTTAATCATTACTTTAATTACTTCTTTTCACGTATAGAGACATAATAAATCTGATACGTAACAACTAAATTTATCCTAATACTCTTTTTTACTTACAAGAACAACGAACTTAACACGTGATAATTCACCATTAAAAAAATAACAACGAAAAACAATGTCATTGATATCATATTGAATTTTTAAGATCAACACGTAATTTAAAATCAATTGACAACAAGTAAATTAACCCTTATATTTATATATCTAAAAATTAAAATTTCTCAACATGACAGATATGAAAATTTTTTTTATCCTCACTCAAGTACTTTTATTGATAGAAACTAGTTTTGTCCAATTAAGAGTGTAGAATGGGGCACTTCCTTTCATCCTTAACAGTAGTAGATAAATATGTTGACCTATTTGTTTCTTTCAATTAATTTCTATTATCGTTTGGGGTAATTAAATATCTATTTCGTTATCGTTGAAAATAAAACTCTGAACCTATCTGTACAACTTGTTTCAACAAAGGTGTATTTGACGTTATTTCCATTGAAGTTAAACGTCTTTCTCGAACCCTGTTTTTAAATGCATTCTTCTAAACTTATCCACATTCCAGAAAATGACTGCCGAACTGTGGCTAAATGCCCAAATTTTAAGTTGTTTTTGTTTGGATATCACGTCAAGGGAAACACTTTCTTCTCTAAAAGATATTTACAACGGGAATTGAAATTTTCCAACGTTTTATTGATATTGTTTTCACATTAATTACATAATACCAATATCCACAAAATTAATACATTTATCTTTAGAAAAGTTTTAAAACTTAATTTATAAGCAATTTTAATTGGCCAAAAATGGAAACCCAACTTTATATTTTGTCCACTTGAACCTTTGGAGACATCTATTTGCACTTAAGTATTAGACTCATTGATTAGTGTATAGTCTTTCTGTTTAAATAACAAGGTTTGGTATTTTTTTCAAATAAAAAAAATAATTAATCATTTAATTAACGAGTATATGAACTCAAAAACTAAAATTGATTTTACTTTTTACATTTTGTGTTTCGTTTGGATTTTCAGTTTTGAGTTTGGTCGGCTATCAAAATGTTTTAATATGCATCCAATCAAAGCCCTTTGCTGTGCTAAATTCTTGAATGATAATAAAATATTTTGCTGATGCATCTTCCATTGTTGGTATGCGACAAATGAGATAACGAAATGGAAGAAGTCTAAAAGAGAAGCAAGAAAACTTATAATCACTCACTAACCCCAAAACCACCCCAACTTCTAGAACAATTCAGAGTGGAAAAACACAAACACAAACTGATATTCTTACTACATTTGATTCCACCAATGAACATAACAAAGAAGCCCTTTGGCCTTGAAAACATTGGAAAGCAATTTCTCAAACTTAACGATTGGATTATATTTACAGTAGCCTAGTAGCAACGACATCAACACAAGAACAACAGAAAGGCATGGGGAGGATCCCTTTGGTCTCCCTACATCCTTAAGTGTTTGTTCTTCCCTTACATTTCACACTATAGTTTAAAACCCACAAATTCTAAGCGTATGTTTCTCCCTTTGGTTTTCCATACGCTCATCAATACTGTTTTTGATGAAATTAAACATGACAATTACCACACTCTATATCACCATGCTTTTGACTAGAGTGCCACACCTTCAGCTTCCTTCAGGCATGTCACTTGCGATGTTTCGATGATCATGCAACGACGCGGCGGGAAGTCAAGCGACAGACAGGAGACTGAACTCCAGTTGATAAAATAATCTTAGTAGTAGAAGAAGTAGCCATGGAAGATGGCGAGGAAGCAGAGAAATCCCCATAATCTGATTGAAAGACTTGTTTATCAGACACCTGAAACCTGCCAGAATCTCCAGTAGGGAGTCTCATGTATGAAGCTGAGGGTGACTCACTGAACCATGTTGCCAAAACGCCCTCTCTTCCATTCTTGTATTGGACGATGGCCCTATAAACAAAAGGAATCAGACCCTCCATTTGAAAAATTCCCTTTTTGTATTGTATGTAAGGAATAAAGCGACAGAACAGAGAAACGTTTGGTCTCGGAAAGAACAGAAGTTATTCTGAAATTCTTGGTTTGGTCTTTAGAAGGAAATGAGGGGGAGAGGGGGGGATTGGAGAGATTGGTTATAAAAGAGAAGGGAAAGGGTCGTGACGTGGCGTAATGGGTAGGAGACTAGGAGCTGTCCAGCTCTTCACGCTAAGCTGAAACCCGCACGAAGTCTTGGAACAAATTCACAGCTTTGAAAACTAAAGCCAAACTAAAAAAAAAGATCAGATAGAAAGAAAGCCACCTTCCTTACAAGTCACCAATTTCCCTTTGCTAGTCTCTCTGTCATCATTAAATTAATCAATTTCCTAATAGGTTTGGTGCTCCATGCGTGAGCTTTCCTAATACAATTGAATGGCTTTGTCGTAATCTCCTATTTCTTTCTTCAAGAAGTTTGCTAGCCAGTCATTAATTTTTAATTTTTTTCCCCTTAATCAATATTTGAGTTTTCAATCATTTGTGCATTTTCTTGTCAACAATATTTGTTTGTTTGGACATGGTTTTAGAGTAAGGTATTTGATCGAAGTTGGTGGTACATCATGCGCCGCTTGTTTAATTAGTACCAAGAGTCAGGCTAGAATTCTTGCTTTAGCATATCCTATTTGAATCCCAAAATCATACCAAGAGCAGATCATGTCCTGGATTATTTTAAACAGATCTTCATCTAAACATTTCCGGTATAAGAATGTGAAGCTTCTCCAAAATCTTTTGTTCCAGGATTTTAGTGATCAATCCTGATTATTTTACGAGTTTTCTTCTGTTTTTTCATTCCCCTTCCAGCTGTTCTCTATGCTTCCCATCATATTTTTTTCTCCCAAAGAAGCATACGAAATGTATCCTGATTATTTGAATTTGGTTAGGAATATATGAGAATTATACCCTTTGACAATTTGGGTACCCTGGAAATCAACTTGTATACTATACAACCTGGTGGCCCCCGGTAAGGCAATGTGGTCTTATGTCTCAAGCTTATAGTTTTGTCGGCATTGACAAATATTTTTCCTTTTTATTCCCATCATCTTACTCCAGGGTTTTGTAGTGAAAACAAGTAGATGGCTCAGGTTTTCAGGATTTATCTGAATCTGACCAAATGCATTCGAAGAGAATGCACATATTTTCCATGTGAAAGTCTAACTAAATCCATCTTTTCACTCAATTTCAAATACCTAAACAGGAATTCTATGGTTACCAAAATCATCTTTCAATCCTAATCTGATTAATTACTTCCAAAGCAAAATCTCTTAGGGAAGTGATAGATAGATAGATAGATAGGGTTAAAACCCTGATAAGGAATGCTGAAAAACCCTCCATCCCTATCTTCGTCTTGCTGTCAAACGATTTCCATTAGCTGTATTTCAAGATCAAGAAACATGCCAATCAATAACTTGGTTGGCACATAGGATAAGACCATTGCCCACCATAAAAAAAAAAAAAAGGGAAATCCTTGACCGTTACATTTATATAAATTTTATTCAGCTCTAACTAGGGTTGACAATACTTCACACGAACGTTACAATTTTCTCTTGCTCTTTAAAATTAAAAAAAAAAAAAGAAAAAGGAATTCCATACCCACTCCATTGTCTCAATCGTAGATGAAGTCATTGGTTGCATCATCTACGGTTGGAAATTAATCTTGGCAAGTCGTTTTCTTAATCCAATAATAAAATTTTTGGCTTCAAAGAAGAGCTGGATTGATCCTTCCAATTCGCCTTAAGCAAAAGCAAGCAAAAACTGGGTGCGCCCTCTACTTCGTGGAGGGTTAGGTAAGTGAAAGAGCAAAGCTTGTGTCACACTGTCACAGTCTTGCTTAATATTATTTTCCCTTTTGAACTTAGTTTAAACCACCACAAAAAGAGTTTTCAACTCTTACACATAATCGCTCCTGCCACCATCAAGGCTTAGCTGTCTTTGTTTTTTGCTCATTTTTTAGTCAATTTATGACCTTAGTGGAGGTCCAAATTTAATGTTTGTAATTTCATAATCACAATTAATTAATTAAATAATTCAATACTATGATGATTTGCCAAGGGGTAATCATTTTTAACTTGATTATTTCAAACTGAATTATCTACGAGTTGATTGTGAAATTATTGGATCACATCTATGAACAATTCAAAACTAGAAGCTCGGCATATATAACTGTTATTTGAAGGCATATGATAAGAAAATTTATTATGGTTTAATATCAATTTTTAGTATATATTGTCGTTTTTGACAAGTTTGTAAGAAAAATATGCAATTTCAAGTGAATAAAGTAAAAAGAGTCATGCATTTTGGGAAATGAAAATTAAGTTAATTGGTAATTATATATATATATATATATAAGTTTTGTCCTCTATTAATTCGAAAGTTTCTGGATGCTCTAGTCAATGTCAGGATAAATCAGGCTTTGACTAATTGACATGTTTTAAACAAAAGTTATATTTTAAGTTATTTTTTGTATTTAATATTTTAAACTTCAAGTCATTTTAAATGCATCCTTATCAGTTTAATTAATAAGGTAATTTTAACTATGATGATACATGATGGCCTTACTTGGGTACATCCTCAATGCTTGATAAAAGTAATGAATTATTTGAAATAGAAAATAGAAAAATTTATTTCTAATATCATAGTGAATTTCATGATGATGCATTCAAATTTTTAATTTCAGGATCCTTATCCAATAGGTTAAGGATTACATCTGCCCCAAAGAAGTCACATAGCAATTAATCGAGTACTAGATACTCTTTTAGTCTTTTTTTTTATTTCATTTAAAGATAAATATTTAAAGATGAAAAGAGTAATATTAAAGTTTAAATTTAAAATAAGTGAATGCTTTCAAGATTCTTTATCTTGCAATTTCAAGCTAATAACTTTGTTATAAACAAAGATAATTACCATGATAAACTTAGAGAGATTCAAAAATGTAACATGGACATATCAATAATATCCTAGCTCAAAGAAGTTCAGTTTGAAGAAGTTTCTTCTAGTGTTTTTGTGAGTTCTTCATCAATTGTTTACCCCACATTTTAAGATTTGGTAAAATAATCAAATTACCTGGATAACTTATACCTAAATTCTTGACCTTAACAGGAGCAATTAGATTACATTTACTGGTCAAAGAGATTACAATAACTAAAAGACTAGTCAAAGAGAAAAGGCAAAGTAGTTAGTGAGTACGTTTCTCCTACTTTGACAAATTGGGCCAAATCTAAATCTAGATTGTCAAATCCTTGGAGCTTATTGGCAGTGTAGAGGAGGCGGCCATTGATCTTTCTTTCAAACAAGATGGTTAACACTATTCTCCCCTTGGAATTCCTTCCTTAGACCTTACCAGCTTTGAAAGCCCATATTTTTCAGATGGGTGCAGTGGGTGTTGGATTGGGCAAGCTCTATTTTTAGTACCTAATCACTTCTGTTTTCCTTTATTCATAAATGTTTCCCTCATGTTTGAATTGGGCAGCAGCCCATGTTTTCAAGATATTTGAAAAATGTGATAATATTAAATATATAATATAACACCTCTGCCTGTTGGAATATTTTGCAAACTGTGGGTTTTATTTGGGGATTTTGGGAAGAGGTCTTAACGCATAGTAACATTTCATTTTTACTTCTAAATAATTGCCACTCCCCAGTCAATTCACTAGAAGCTGCATTTCTTAAACTATGTATATTACAATTGTTTGTGTTTAAATCAGCTCCAAAGTTAAAATGATTACTAAATCAAACCAATAAAAAGTTTTTCAAAGAGAAAAATACCACTACAAGAAATTCTTTTAGATATATTAAACTATTAAATAATTAGATGCAATACATGCATGGCAGAGACTAATCAAAAAGAGAGAGAAAAAAAAAAAGAAAGTCACTCACAGTATTAGGTGGCTGAGTCACTCCAATAAGGAAAAACTAAACATGGAAAACAGTATTGTAAGTATAGCAAACTTTGATTGATTGGTTGTAATTGTGAACAGCTTAATTCTATTAGTGAAGATGTTAAAACAGTTAGCTTGGGTGACACAAAAGGAACCAATATTAGAAGGGCACGATCCCTCCCTTCCCCCTATTTTTTTTCCCCACATTTGGGTTCACATCAAGAACAAACTTTTTTGGTTACCTCTACCTACTAAGGATGGGGTAGCAGGCAGATGGATGACAAGAAAAAGATGTTTCTTCTTTATTGACATTGACCTTGGTAAAGCACTGCTCTTCCTTTGTTTCTTTCCCTTTTTTTTTTTCTAATTAAATTCCTTTTTTAGGTCCAATGATTGCAATATAGGAGATGGGAAACGTTGTTCCATCTCGAACGATGATATGCAATGCTAAATTTTTCCTACAATTACTGAAGGATGTTACTCCTTCTCTGATTATATATGCTAACGTTACACAATTTGAGTGATATTTACTCTTCTCTTCTTCTTTTGATTGAATTGGACAAACAAAAGAAGACAGGAAAGGAGATTCAGGCCTTGAAGTCAAAGTTAGGTTAACGTTTTACTCTTTTTTATTCTTACTGCAAGCTGCTTCCCAGAATTTGGAAAGGGAATATGATTATGGGAATAATTTTGTTTTTATGATAGCTTGATGTTATTCTCACCAGGCCAACATTTATAAACTTTCCAATTCTCCTTATCAATGTGAGATTAGAACATGTTATTTACTTTCTTTTGAAGCACTTAATCTGATGTTATTTTTATTCAATCTAGTAACGTCTGTATAGTCCTTGATCACTTTACTTATCTCTTTTTGAAAATGCTTTACGTAAATCAAATTTAAATTAAGTTTATTTTGATATTATTTTATAATAAATCATTATTTTATCATAAATCATTATTTTTTTTAAAAAAAAGTTAACTTGACAGGATATGCAACACCGACCTTAAAACTTTTTCAGAATCTCTTAACTGTCATTCCTTTGAAGATGCTTGGCTTGACTCTATGTTTCTCT